TGCTGCGCGCCGGCGCCGACCTGGACGCGCCGCTGCGGCGCCAGCGTGCCACCCTGGTAAGGGACAGCGCCGGGCGCGGTGCCGCCGGCGCCGGTGTCGCCGTGCTCAGTGTCCCCGCGTGTCGCCAGCTGCACGTGGCCGCGGCGCACGGCTACGCCGAGGCCGCCGAGCTGCTCCTGGAGCACCGCGCCAGCCCCGGCGCCAGGGACGAGGACGGCTGGGAGCCCCTGCACGCCGCCGCCTGTTGGGGACACGTGAGTGTCACACACCCCGGGGACATCCTGGTGACAGTGACACCCCTCCGGAGCGCTCCGTGTCACCCCTGTCCCCTCCGTCGCCGCAGGTGCAGCTGGTGGAGCTGCTGGTGGCCCACGGCGCCGACCTCGACGCCAAGTCGCTGCTGGATGAGACGCCGCTGGGTGAGCACGGCCAGGGCCACCGAGCCACCAGGGCCACCCCACTGAGGTGGCCCCGGCCCATCCGGCCCCCCGCGATTCCCCTTTTGGGTGGCTGGATCCCTCCGGAGCGGGGACCGTGGCGGGTGCCCGGCCACAGCGCGAGGCCAGCGGCGCCGCCGTGTCCCCAAGGGGCTCGGGGGGGCCGCCAGCCGCTGGCCTTGTCCCCCGTGTCCCCCTAGACGTGTGCGGGGACGAGGAGGTGCGGGCCAAGCTGCTGGAGCTCAAGCAGCAGCGCGAGGCCGTCATGAGGGCGCACGAGAGGCACAAGTCGCCGCTGCAGCGTCGCACGTCGAGCGCCGGCAGCCGCGGGTGAGACACGCGGGGACACCCCCCGGGGACACTTATTGGGGGCACCCATGTGGGGACACCCCCCGGGGACACCCGCTGGGGTCACCCATGTGGGGACACCCGCTGGGGACACCTGTTGGGGACACCCCCCTGGGGACACTTGTTGGAGTCACCCCCCTGGGGACACCCCCCCTGGGGACACCTATTGGGGGCACCAACGTGGGGACACCTGCGGGGGTCACCCACTTGGGGACACCCCTGGGGTCACCCCCTTGGGACACCCGCTGGGGACACCTATTGGAGTCACCCCCCTGGGGTCACCCATGTGGGGACACCCTGCTGGGAACACCCTGCTGGGGTCACCCATGTGGGGACACCCGCTGGGAACAGCCTGCTGGGGACACCCTGCTGGGGTCACCCACATGGGGACACCCACTGGGGACACCTATTGGGGTCACCCATGTGGGGATGCCCCCTGGGGCCACCTGTTGGGGTCACCTCCCCAGGGACACTTGCTGTGGACACCCACTGAGGACACCTGTTGGGGTCACCCCACTGGGGACACCCACTGGGGTCACCCCCCTGGGGACACGTGCTGGGGACACCCCATTGGGGACACCCTGCTGGGGTCACCCATTGGAGTCCCCCCCCCCCGGCAACACCCCCCTGGGGACACCCCGCTGGGGACACCCCCCTGGGGACACTCCCTTGGGGATGCCCCCTGGGGACCCCCCTTGGTTACAGGCACTGGGGACACCCCATTGGGGACACAGGTTGGGGGGGACACCCCATTGGGACACCAGCAGGGGACACCTGTGGGGGACCCCTGCTGGTGACAGGCACTGGGGACACCCCACTGTGGACACCCTGTTGGGGACACCCCCGGGGACCCCAGCTGGTGACAGGCGCTGGGAACACCCAGTTGGGGACACCTGCTGGAGACACCCACTGGTGACAGGCACTGGGGACACCCCACTGGGGACACCCCACTGGGGACAGGAACTGGGGACACCTCGTTGGGGACACCCCATTGGGACCCCCCCACCAGTGACCGGCGCTGGTGACCCCTCCTGGGGACACCTCGTTGGGGACACCCTGTTGGGGACCCCGCCAGTGAGTGGCATGGGTGACCCAACTTGGGGGCACCCCCTGGGGACACCTCATTGGTGACAGGTGCTGGTGGCCCCCGTTGGGAACACCCTGTTGGGGACACCCCTTTGAGGCCACCCTGATGGTGACTGGCATTGGTGACCCCCACTGGGGACACCCCCTTGGGGACCCCCTCGGGGACCCCCTGTTAGGGACACCCTGTTGGGGACACCCCACTGGTGACGGGCCCTGGGGAGCTCCCCTGGGGACACCCTGTTGGGGACACCCCTTTGAGGCCACCCCGCCAGTGACCAGCGTGGGTGGGGACCCCCTCCCGGGGCCACCCCTTTGGGGACACCCCTTTGGGGACACCTCATTGGGGACATCCCACCTGTGACGGGCACTGGGGACACCTCGTTGGGGCCACCCTGTTGGGGACACCCTGACGATGATGGGCACTGGGGACACCCCTTTGGGGACCCCCCCCCCGGGGACACCCTGTTGGGGACACCCCACCGGTGACGGACACTGGGGACCTCCCCAGGGGACACCCCCTTGGGGACCCCCCCAGGGACACCCTGTTGGGGACACCCCACCGGTGACGGACACCTCATTGGGGAGTGCACCCTGTTGGGACCACCCTGTTGGGGACACCCCACCGGTGACGGACACTGGGGACCTCCCCTGGGGACACCTCATTGGGGACACCCCCGTGGGGACCCCGCCAGTGACCGGCAGGGATGACCCCCCCTGGGGCCACCCCCCTGGGGACCCCCCCAGTTGGTGCCCCCCCGCTGGGGACACGGGGGTGACCTCGTGGTGTCCCCGCAGGAAGGTGGCCCGCAGGGGCAGCGGCAGCCACCGCTACCGGCGCGAGCAGCGGCGCGAGGCCCTGGTGTGGCAGCGCCGCGACAATGACAATGACAATGACAATGACAACGACAATGACGACGGCGACGGGGACAGCGAGCGGCCCCCCGACGGCCCGCGCCCGCCCGTGAGGCCCGCGCCGCCGTGTCCCCACGTCCCTGTGTCCCCGTGTCACTGTGTCCCCATGTCCCCCTGTCCCTGCATCACCGTGTCCCCTGTGTCCCCATGTCACCGTGTCCCCGTGTCCCCTTGTCCTTGCATCCTCGTGTCCCCACGTCCCTGTGTCCCCTTGTCCCTGCATCACCGTGTCCCCATGTCTCCTGTGTCACCATGTCCCCATGTCACTGTATCCCTGCATCATGTCCTGTGTCACCGTATACCCTTGTCACCATGTCCCCTTGTCCCTGCATCCTTGTGTCCCCATGTCCCATGTGTCCCCATGTCCCCATGTCCCCTTGTCCCTGCATCCTTGTGTCCCCCATCCCCGCATCGCCATGTCCTCTGTGTCCCCGTATCACCATGTCCCCCTGTCCCCATGTCACTGTGTCCCTGCATCATGTCCCCTGTGTCACCGTATCCCCATGTCACCATGTCCCCCGTCCCTGCATCACCATGTCCCCTGTGTCCCCATGTCACCATGTCCCCACATATCCCCTGTGTCCCTGCGTCCCCACGTCACCATGTCCCTGTGTCCCCATGTCACTGTGTCCCTGCATCACCATGTCCCCCGTGTCACCTTGTCACCATGTCCCCATGTTCCCCATATCCCTGCATCCCTCTGTCCCTGCATCACCATGTCCCCATGTCCCTGTGTCCCCATGTCACTGTGTCCCTGCATCACCAGGTCCCCCGTGTCACTGTGTCACCCTCTCCCTGTGTTCCCCATGTCCCTGTGTCACCATGTCCCCACCTCATCGTGTCCCCCACGTCACAATGTCCCCACATCACCATGTCCCCGTGTCCTTGCGTCCCCATGTCCCTGCATCCTCATGTCCTCTGCGTCTCCATGTCACCTTGTCCCCATCACCATGTCCCCCCATCACCACGTCCCCTGCAGCCCCCTTGTCCCCAAATCACTGCATTCCCTGTGTCACCGCGTTCCCCTTGTCCCTGTGTCACCACGTCCCCCTTGTCACCACATCCCTCGCGACCCCCTCGTCCCCGTGTCACCCTGTCCCCTGTGTCACCATGTCCCCCCGGTCACCATCGTCCTCTCGCCATTGCACTCCTCTTGTCACCATGTCCCTCTCTCCATCCGTCGTGTCCCTCTCTCCATCGTGTCCCTCTGTCACTGTGTCCTTTTTCTCACCATGTCCCTCCGTCACGTCCCTCTCTCCATCGTGTCCCTCTTGTCACCGTGTCCCTCTGGTCACCGTGTCCTTCTCACCATCGTGTCCCTCTTGTCACCATGTCCCTCTATCTGTCATGTCCCTTTTGTCACTGTGTCCCTGTCACCACCTCCTTCTCTCCGTCATGTCCCTCTTGTCACTGCGTCCCTCTATCCATGTCCCTCTTGTCCCTGTGTCCCTCTCTCCATGTCCCTCTTGTCACCATGTCCCTCTCTCCACATCCCTCTCCCCGTGTCCCTCCCGTCCCCATGTCCCTCTTGTTTCCATGTCCCTCTCCCCGTGTCCCTCCTGTCCCTATCTCCCACCCGTCCCCATGTCCCACCCATCCATCATGTCCCTCCTGTCACCGTGTCCCTCTCCCCGTTTCCCTCCTGTTCCTGTCTCCCACCTTGTCCCCATGTCCCACCCGTCCCCATGTCCTTCTTGTCACCGTGTCCCTCCTGTTCCTGTGTCCCACCTGTCCCCGTGTCCCACCCGTCCCCGTGTCCCTCTTGTCACCGTGTCCCACCCGTCCCCGTGTCCCTCTTGTCACCGTGTCCCTCCTGTCACCGTGTCCCTCCTGTCCCCGTGTCCCTCTTGTCACCATGTCCCTCTCCCCGTGTCCCTCCTGTCCCCATGTCCCTCTTGTCACCGTGTCCCTCTCCCCGTGTCCCTCCTCTCCCCATGTCCCACCCGTCCCCATGTCCCTCTTGTCACCGTGTCTCTCTCCCCGTGTCCCTCCTGTCCCTGTCTCCCTCCTGTCCCCATGTCCCTCTTGTCACTGCATCCCTCTCCCCGTGTCCCTCCTGTCCCTCTTGTCCCTCCCATCCCCGTCCCCCTCCCATCCCCATGTCCCTCTTGTCACCGTGTCCCTCTCCCCATGTCCCTCCTGTCCCCGTGTCCCACCCGTCCCCGTGTCCCACCCGTCCCCATGTCCCTCTCCCCATGTCCCTCCTCTCCCCATGTCCCTCCTCTCCCCGTGTCCCTCCTGTCCCCATGTCCCTCTTGTCACCGTGTCCCTCTCTCCATGTCCCTCCTGTCCCCGTGTCCCACCCGTCCCCATGTCCCATCCGTCCCCATGTCCCTCTTGTCACCGTGTCCCTCTTGTCCCCATGTCCCTCTTGTCACCGTGTCCCT